ATAACCTAAGAAGGTAATACTTAAGACCTCCAAACTGGTTGAAAAAGATGACCAACTGGAGAGAGGACTGCGAKTCACTCCTAGAAGCATAAGGGCTATGGCGCTAAGCCGACAGAAGATCTCGGCACTACGACAAGTCCTAATCGCCTCTTCGGCATAGGCAGACCAGTCATAGTTACCTCTTTGGCATAGGTAGACAAGTCCTACTTGCCTCTTCAGCATAGGCAGACAAGTCCTAGTTGCCTTTTCGGCATGGCAGACAAGTCTTACTCGCCTATGGGGCATAGATAGCTCAAGTGCGAACCCTACGGTGTTTAATTCACCTCGGTGTACAACAACAATCCCACCTGGGGTTAGGCTCGTTAGCTCGACACTAAGGAATAACCAACATTTAAGCCAGTAGCCTGTGCACAAATAGGTCAGGAATATACCCTACAGTGTCTGCCCACCTCGACGTACAATGATATAAGGTTATTTGTACTTGGAGTCCAGCTCGGCAGCTCGAGAGCAACCTATACTTAGGAAAAGTTCGCTATTATTTGGTTTAGTTCGCCAGCTCGGGAGTAATCTACACTTAGAAAAAATTTTGCATGCAAAGATTGCAAAACACTTGTATTTAATTAATATAGAGCTTCGAGTACAAAAAAAAAAGAGAGAAACTACTACACCGAGCTCGGAGGCCCGGGATATACATTGTATGTAGGGGGGTCCAAGAAAAGAGGCATTCAATCACTTCGGGGCTCTTCATCCTTATTGGAGACTTTGGCAAGAGGATCTATCAACATACGGTCCTCACCAGCACCGGTCTCCTCTTCCTCGTCAAGCAAGTCATCATCACTCTCCGCTTTAGAGTTTGGATCTTTGGCAGCTTCGGTGGCCATCTCCTTAGTGATCTTCGATGTGGTTATGGCGATGCAGTCGAGGTGGGGAAATTCATGTTGGGTCAACCACCTGCTGAGTTTGAATCCCTTGCGGTAACCCGCTGTCCCTCCCTCGACCAGCCTTTCCCAAAGCTCTACTGACTTGTATTCCTCAACAGCCTTGACCTTGGCCTCCTCCATAGGCAGACAAGTCGTAGTTACCTCTTCGGGATAGGTAGACAAGTCCTAGTTGCCTCTTTGGCATAAGCAGACAAGTCCTATTTGCCTCTTCGGCATAGGCAGACAAGTCTTACTCGCCTATGGGGCATAGATAGCTCGGGTGCAAACCCTACGGTGTTTAATTCACCTCAGTGTACAACAACAATCCCACCTGGGGTTAGGCTCGTTAGCTCGACACTAAGGAATAACCAAAATTTAAGCCAGTAGCCTGTGCACAAATAGGTCAGGAATATACCCTACAGTGTCTACCCACCTCGACGTACAATGATATAAGGTTATTCCTACTTGGAGTCCAGCTCGTTAGCTCGGTAGCTTGAGAGCAACCTATACTTAGGAAAAAGTTCACTATTATTTGGTTTAGTTCGCCAGCTCGGGAGTAATCTACACTTAGAAAAAATTTTGCATGCAAAGATTGCAAAACACTTGTAATTCATTAATATAGAGCTTCGAGTACAAAAAAAAAGAGAGAGAAACTACTACACCGAGCTCGGAGGCCCGGGATATACATTGTATGTAGGGGGGTCCAAGAAAAGAGGCATTCAATCACTTCGGGGCTCTTCATCCTTATTGGAGACTTCGGCAGGAGAATCTATCTCCATACGGTCCTCACCAGCACCGGTTTCCTCTTCCTCGTCGAGCAAGTCATCATCACTCTCCGCTTTGGAGTTCGGATCTTTGGCAGCTTCGGTGGCCATCTCCTTAGTGATCTTCGATGTGGTTATGGCGATGCGGTCGAGGTGGGGAAATTCATGTTGGGTCAACCACCTGCTGAGTTTGAATCCCTTGCGGTAACCCGCTGTCCCTCCCTCGACTAACCTTTCCCGAAGCTCTACTGACTTGTATTCCTTAACAGCCTTGACCTTGGCCTCCTCCATCGCTTGAAGCAGTAGCTCGGTTCGTTCCTTTACGTGGGCTTCGAGGTTCTCAAGCTCCATTTTCAATGCCATTTCACGCTCCTCGAGCTCTTTCTTCTCTGAGATCAGCAGAGTTAACAACTCCTTCTTAGCTCGTGCATCATTCTTTAGTTGGTTGATTTCGTTGCGTGCTAAGTTTAGTTCAGCGTGGGCATTTCAAGAAGACTCCTCGGCTTCGAGAGCCCGCTTCAGGTTCACCTTGGATTGATACGCCAAGGTGTGGATGGAGGAGTTCAACTGCCAAGAGAAGAAAACGAGTATCAATATACAAAAAATCCAAGTACGAGACAATTTGGAAGACAAGATCAAGCACGTACCACCATACAGTGTGTAGCCGCACGGGCCCCGAGTTGAGCGACTGGAAGGTCGACCCAACGAGCGACCTCTTTAGTGAACACCGCATCCTTGCTCTTGAGAAGGCCAAACTTTGGAGTCAAAATGCTCCGAAATGGAGCATCGCTGCCCGAAGAAGTGGCGGTCACTAGGACAGGCTCTGAAGACGTAGCCTCCTCGGGCATACGGGGTGGGGTGGGCTTGCCTGAGTCCTCCTCGACCAGGTCGATCACGGGAGGCTGCTCGGCAGTTAGTTGGTGCTCGGACTCAGGAACAACAGCCTCAGTTGTGGCTGCTTCACTCTCAATGCGAGCCTTTTTAGAGGCTCTCTTCTTCTTATTCCCCTTCTTCATGCTCCCAAAGAGCTCATCAGTAGGGATGTCATCCATGGCAGTTGCAGTGAAAACAAGCTAAGTCAGATATAGTACCAAAGTAAAATGAATAGAAAAAGTATAGTAAACATCGACCTACAAGGAGGACTCAGGCCGGCCTGCACAAGCTTCTCCTCAGTCTCGAAGTCTTCGAACATCAGGCTGAGCTCTGCCCATGATCGGACCTCCTCCCTTGTCTTCAGGTCCAGTCTAACGCTAGGGTCTTGAATGGCTGCCCTCCAATGAGTTGGGAAGGGCCACCCCTCGGTGTTGTGGACCACGAAGTAGCGCCTCTTCCAAGTTGGGACCTTATTAGGAAGCTCGTGCAATAGTTTGTATCTAGGACGAGGTGACAAGTAGTAAGTTTGCCTGTGCTCGGGCAGAACACATGATGAATTTTCATGAAAAGAATTGAAGAAAATACGTCGAGGTTAAGGGGAAGGTTGTAATCATGAAAAAGAGAAATGGTCCCTACGATGTTACAGATAGAGTTCGGGTGTAGTTGATCTATGGTAATGTTAAAAAATCTAATGATATCGATTATAAGGGGGTGAAGTGGAAGACGCAGACCAGCTACGAGTTGTTCCTCGAAGATCATGATCTCGTTGTGATCATGATCCCAAGGAAAGTTGCCTATGGGGATGCTATATACAAGGTCGTTAGGGAGTCTGTATCGGGCTAATAAGGCTAGGAGCCTGTGCGCCGTCATTATTGACGGGCCGAAGTTGTCTGGCATCTGACCTCGATGTGAGGTAGAAGCCGAGTTACCAGAGGCCTCTCGCTCTCGCCGAGGTGAGTCCACCTCGAGCGGATTGAGGACCGCGGTCTATCCCAAAGTGACCACCTCGGTAGGACAGGGATCCACAGTCTGAGCCGAGGTACCCACATTGGCCCCAGCGGACTCACCGCTCCCGTCTAAAAGACTATCTAAGCTAAGGCTAGACATATTAAAGGAAGGGACAATGGAATCAAAAGGAAAAAGCAAAGACAGACTCACTGAAAGGAAGACCGAAGAAAAGAAGGTGACCTCGGACCCAGAAAAGGCTGATACTGAACTGGAAAACTTGAGCGCGACCTCAAAGATTGCGGATTTGTAGACTTGTGGCAAGGAAAATGAGCCCTTTGGCCTCTATTTATAGCTACTATATTTGGGAATCAATGGTCAAGATCAACACGATCCGACGGCTCCCAAGGAAACCAGTTGCACGCCCCCCGAGGTTGAAATCGATTTAGCACGTGTTTTGACGTCCGCGGAGTCTATAAATAGTGTGACATCCGCGCGTGGATGAGACGTGACCTGGGTCAGTTCATGGTTGGGACAGGTTGTTGAATAGGCCCAACCATCGGTTTGCCCTTCAAGTTGTCAAGACTTCGTGCCAAATCCACCTGGACTCATCATGAACTCCCCGCACCGGGTTGACACCCCTGGCACGAGGAGTAGGGGGCAATTGATGAATGGTGATTTGGCACGACATAGCAAGAAGGAGACACGTAGGCACGATCTGATCGAGGGGTGACAACTCAACCAAACAAGCCCAGTTCGCAACATTTGGAGCTCGGGTATTCAGCCACCTCGGCCCAAACAACCACCTCGGTGTAGAGGCACCCCGACACCTAATCCAGTTTGGGACTAAAGAATCGAAGTGCCAGATCAGAGCTAATGATCCGAAATGCCACATAACCGACTCCAAAGGCCTCCCCAACAGATCCCGAATTTCTCGAGATCACGATGAGCCAACAGATCCCGAATTTCCCGAGATCACGATGAGAACTCATCCCGGCTCCGCCTGAATGAGAGGTAAACGATAAACCTTATCAACCCATTATTCTCCTTCAAAAATGGAACAAACCTTATCTCCACAACCCAGAGATCCCAGAGCTCTTTCGTAAGGCCCACAACTACTCCAGTATATAAAGACATGAAACCTCAAGGCAAATGTACACGTGATTACTCTACTCACTAGCACTCAAGCTCTCAAGCATTCAGCTCACATTCATAGCATAAGTACTGATGTAAGCATTAGAGTGACCTTGCCGGGTTAGCTACCCCGGGTTCTCTGATCCACTGTTTTGTAGATTGATCCAACTTGCCACCCAATTGGAATTCGGAGCGCCATCCAGCTAGGAGTAGCCAGATTGTGCACCATCAGAATCCATTTTTGTAAGAGTAATTTGATTTCTTTTGCTATTTTCTGAAATGTACTACTAATATGATTGTTGAATAATTCTAGATCCCCTAACATGCTAAAGTTGTTGCAAGATGCAAATGGAATAGAGATAACCTGAGCTTTCAATTTGATAAGCAAATTATCAACAGCTGAGTTTGTATATGATGTCAGCAAAATAGATGCACCTCTCATTAGCAATGCCTTCACAGCATTAACCATAGTGGATGTCTTGCCTGTTCCAGGCATTCCAAGAATAAGAGCATAATCCTTTGCTGTAAGTATCTGCAGGTATAAAAGTATATAGTAAGTGACACAAAAAAACCTGGTTACCTATTTTCATTTTTTCCATTTTTTCCAATGCAAGGGAGAGTGACAATTAACCTTTTGGATGGCTCTTCGCTGATCATTGTTTAATCTTTTCTCCGACCGCACATAAGATATTGCAGGATCCTGACTGAATTTATCAAACCTAGGTGCCCGAAAGGAATCAGCTAAAAAACTATTAAGCAGTGGTTATCATCCCCACATGGTAAACTTCAAAAGTACAGGTGTAGAACTACCCAGAACTTTAGAAATCTAAAATCTAGATGTGGCAATATATTCACCTCAAGATCAACAATCATCTTCCTTAGGTGATGAGAACTTTGTGCACTTTGGGAAAACAGTTGCATGAGATTGAATCTACATGTGAAACACCACCAGTGGCATAACCATCCATCCAAAACACTAAGCACAAGGTTTGGTCCATTTGAGTTTTTTAAGAGCTATTTTCTAGTTTGTCAGTGTTGTAGGAATAGGATTAAAATAGTTTAACAAATCACATTGGAGAAATTTTAGAATTTAAAGAAATTGAAGCTGCAGGTTTGTCGCTTTTATTGCAGCCTACATTTTAAGGGTTAAAGCTTGTCCATTTGACTTGGTTTTAGTGTAAACGGATAGGTCTCTTAATCACTTAATCCAGGAGACCAAGATCCATTTGATTTGGGTGCAATTGGGTTATTGCAAGGTCAAAGACAAATAAAATAGTAAGAAGGCATGCATATGCTAGCTTACATGAATGTTAATAGTTAATACAGGTGATCTAGACTTATATGACCATAAAATCATGTGATTGAAGGGAGCATGTTTTCTTAATGGGAAACTACAAAAGCCTACCAATTGATATGTAGAATTCTGTAGAATGAAGAATTTGTACCTAATGATAGATAGTACAAACATTGAGGTGGCGACAACTTCTGCATGTGTTTGGACTCTACAATAGAAGTAAGATAAAATTAAACCAATCATGCCAAGTGATTTAAGTAAAATTTAATTCCAGTATTTCAATAAGTTCATGCCTGCAACATTGGAGGTAATTGTTGTATTATTGATGCCTTCAAAATATCATTGGCAAGTTCATTTCGGCGCATGATTAGCCCAAGCAAGTCAGATCTTTGAACCGCAATTCCCTTGACAAAACATGTAAAAGTAAAGTAATTTGTATGCACATATTATCGGTTAAACCCCACATGGTTAAAGTATTTGGTGTTAAAAACTGTAACATCAATCAAAAAATATAGTTGATTATACCTGTGTCTGATCTATACGGAGATAGTAAAGAAGACCAGAATCAATATGTTTCAGGCATCTGAAAAATAAGAGAAATACGACACACAAGAAATCAGAAATCGAATAAAGAAAATTGTCTAAACAGAGATAAAACAAAAAAGGAAGAATCTGTTAGCAACTTGTTCCCGTTGCCGGGGAGAGAGACGACAATTCCCCCGAGCTATAGTGAAGATGTCACTGCTCACAGGGGGCGGCTACCACAAGGGAAGCAATGAACAAGAATTTTTCTGAAAACAGACGTGTTTATTCATTACTACTGCAAGGCTTTTATAGACCTCATGGGTCTTTACATCCAGATAGCCGTATAACGGCAATAATTGATAATGAAGCAGAATCGTAACCGACTCTGTCAAGCATGAGACACGTCAGCAATTCGGTTTTGCCCACTGACAGTCAAGTCGTGGGAGGAAGGATTCTCAGGTGGTGGTATGGTGATTCGTATCATCCCCCATCGTTGGAGGCAACCTTGTCCTCAAGGCTTAGTGCTAGCAAACTTCTTACGAAGATCAGCCCATCGTTCCCAGGTGGCATCAGTTGGTGTCATCCCTTCCCATTGGATCAGAACTTCGGGATTTGGTTTGTTTCCTCTCTTGATAATTCTCCGATCCAGTATGGCCTCCGGGTGGGGAAGAAGAGATCCATCGGATGACAGAGGTGGTAGTGTGGTTCGGGTCTGGTGATGGGACCTGAGTTTCTTCTTTAACTGAGATACATGGAAAACTGGGTGAACCCTGCATCCTGTAGGTAAATTCAGCCGGTAGGCTACCTTGCCAATCCTCTTGATGAAGGGTGATTTGGCCCGACCTCATAACAGGGGGACACGTGGACGTGACCTAACTAATAGATGATACCTCAGCATGACTAGTCCGTAACAGAACGACTTTGGGTACCTAGCTACCCCGAGGTAAAGTTATCTCGAGACAAGGTCACCTCGAAATGAGACCGCCTCGACACCAGATCGCAACAAGCACACCTCGAGGCCAAGTCACCCCGGTACTCAATCCAGTTCGAGACTTAAAGACGTCAGCTCGGGGATACCGATTTGCCACTATGTGGTGATACCGAAAATCCCTCCGACGGTTCCCGAACTCCATGGGATCACGCCGCATAACAGCTAGCATTATCTCCCCGTCCGATTCGGGCAGAAGTGATGAACCTTATTAGTTGGTAGCGTTATCCCCCAATTAACGCGGAAACGGATCTCATCGTGACGAGGATCCCGGAACCACTCCGCGAAACCTGCGAGGACTCCATTATATAAAGGCTCCACCCCCCGGGGGTGCAAAGTACGCGTAATTTTCTTGCTCTCTAGCTCTCTGCATTCAAAAGCTTTTAGCTCACAACCAAGTACTGACTTAAGCATCGGAGCGACCTCACCGGGTAAGCAACCCCGGGTTCTCTGATTCACCTTTTGCAGATCGACCTAGTCCGCCGTCTACTGGAAGCCAGATCACATCCAGCAGGGATCAGTCAGATTGCGCAACATCAATTGGCGCCGTCTGTGGGAAACGCTGCGAGAAGCCTCTTTCCACTACACAAACTCAGATCCATGGCATCCTCCAGCAACGCCGGACAGACTAATGAGATGAATGTCTTTGGGGGGCAACCTCAGATCCCGTCCATTTGCATCTGTGGCTGGGGTCCCGACACTGACCGTGCCTCAAGCAATTGTGCCAGTGAACGCCCCACTCCCTCCTGTAGTGGGTGCAACCTTTGCTGAACCATTTGTGGTTCCCCCTGGGATTGGACATCATCAGCTTGATGACTTGGTACACTGCGTGCAGGCTATTCAAGCCCAATTGCAATAGGTTCAGCAATTTCAACACTACCAGCAACAGGTTTTGCACCACTTTTACCAGCAACAGTACCAGCAGCAGTTCCCTCCGCTACAGCTGAATCAATAGCTGGTTCCACCTCGGCATCCGGTAGCTCAACAGTGTAAGACTCATCGTCAGAACACTCGCCCTCCTCGTCGGGGAGAGACTTCCCAGGTTCCACAGCCCCTTGAGAGTCAGGTCTCGTCCCGCGGTAGGAGGGACAAACATATTACTTCTCCTGCTTCGCAGCACGTGAACAGGTCGTGAGATACTCAGCTCGCCAGAGTTGTTTCACCTCGGTTCTCGCATCATGAAGGTTCGCTTGCAGGGAACCGGTTTGGGGTTCTGACCGCGAACTCTAGGCAAGGCCCCTCGGTTCACGACAGCCAACATCAGCAGTCCAAACCACTCTGTGCTAGAACATTGCCTACAGAGTACACTAAGGAGCGAGCTACACCAACGGAAGAGATGGTTCACATTTTGGTCTCAGCAAAAGATCTAGCCAGAACTCTCTAGATTGGGGCATCGATCGAGGAACCACTCCGTTCTCAGTTGGTAAGCTTTTTAATTAAAAATCTAGATATATTTGCATGGTCCACAGTAGAGATGCCCGGCATAGATTCAAAAATAATTACTCACAAGTTAAACACTGATCCTGTAGTCAGGCCCGTTAGATAGAAGAAACGCAACCTCGCCCTGGAGCGACGGAGGATAGTCGACGAGGAGGTCGGGAAGCTCCTTTCAGTCGATTTCATCAAGGAGGTCCATTACCCGAGCTGGGTAGCTAACCCAGTTCTGGTAAAAAAGGCCAACGTTAAATGGCACATGTGCGTCGATTATACCGACCAGAATCAGGCTTGCCCAAAGGACTGTTTCCCACTGCCTAAAATCGACCGTCTAGTGGATACAACCTCAGGGCACGAGTTGTTGAGCTTTCTAGACGCATACTCAGGATACAACCAGATTAAGATGAACCCTGCCAATGAAGAAAAAATGACATTTATTACTGAGCTCGGCCTGTATTGCTATAAGGTCATGCCCATCGGACTAAAAAATGCCAGGGTGACTTTTTAAAGACTTGTAAATAGGATTTTTGAGCCGTTGATTGGCAACAAGGTCGAGTGTTATGTAGATGATATGGTCGTTAAGACCCAATTTTCAAAATTTTTAATAAATGGTTTACGATGTGTTTTTGAAATTTTGTGCAAGTATAACATGAAACTAAATCCTAACAAGTGTCTTCGGTGTCACCTCGGGTAAATTCCTGGGCTACATAGTGAACCGATGTGGCATCGAAGCTAACCCCAACAAAATAAAGGCCATCCTAGATATGAGGCCACCTCGCAAATTAAAGGAAGTTCAGAGGCTGAACGGTCGTATAGCCACTCTGAGCCGCTTCATGTCTAAGTCGGCAGATCGCTGCCTGCCTTTCTTCAAGGCTATTAAGAAAAGTAAAGACTTCGAGTGGACCACAAAGTGCCAGTTCGCCTTTGATGAGCTGAAAAAATACCTAGTTAGTATCTCGGTTTTGACCCGACCCGAGGAAGGGGATATTTTAAAGCTGTACCTCTCCGCGAGTGATGAGGTAGTCAGCTCGGTACTGATAAAAGAGGTAGATCGAGTCCAACGAACCATCTACTATGTTAGCAAGGTTTTGTAGGATGTCGAAACAAGGTACCCGGAGAACGAGAAACTGGCGTACGCGTTGGTTATGGCAGCTCGGAAGCTTCGTCCCTACTTCCAAGCCCACACCGTCGTTGTCCTCACGAATAAACCTCTGAGGCAAATCCTACTCAAGCCCGAGGTCTCTGGCAGACTGACAAAGTGGGCCATCGAACTCAGCAAGTATGACATCCGGTACGAAACTCGGACGACAATTAAGGCTCAAGCCTTAGCTGACTTCGTGGCAGAATGCACGTTTAGCACTGCGATCCCCGAATTAGACGAGCTCGGGCATGTGGATGAAGCTTCAACCAGTGCGACACCAGTCCCAGTCAGAGTAAGGCCGACCTGGGACGAGGAGCCCTGGATCCTCCACGTTGATGACTCATCTAATCAACAAGGAAGCGGAGCGGGCATAATTCTGTACAGACCAAGCGGGGTGAAACTGGAATACACATTCTGGTTTGGATTTGCAACATCTAACAACGAAGCGGAGTACGAAGCGTTGACAGCCGGGCTCACCTTAGCCAAAGAAGTAAAAGCCAAACACCTCGTCATCTGTAGTGATTCCTAACTCGTGGTCAACCAAGTCATTATCGATTATGAAGCTCGCGACCCCACCATGGTTGCTTATCTAGCCAAGGTCAGGAAAGGCAGCTTCCATTCCTATTTCATCAGGCAAATTCCAAGGTCCGAGAACACTAAGTGTTAAACAGTTGTATGCCCTTAGCTTCAATCAGAATGATGTACTTTATGAGTTTATTGTAAATGAATAAAAATACATATTTGATTCATGTTCCCTTGGTATGTTTCTGTGTAATACCCTTAAACTGGACGCTTAATGAGACTCGTGTTAGTTTAGAATGTTCACAGCCGGTGGGTCGGTCTGGGGAGACCTATCCTGACAAGGCT